TGCAAGTGCAGTACGGGGAAACCTTAAGTTGGCCCAATGGACGAGGGTCCTGATAGCGGACTGATTGCATTTAAATTGGATTATCATTACCATTACTTGACCGTATCGATAAGTCCGGATTTGCGGGAATTTCATGCGACCCAAGGACTGTTCTTAACTTAAGAGGAAATGAATTAGGGACTAACCGAACCTGGGTTTTGAACCCGCCTTAGGTCGTACATCCATGTTTATCTTGGTGGGGAGACGGAAGAACGAATAAGTACGTTATGTCCTACAACAGGTAGGTAGGTAACCGACATACAGGGTTCATGCCAAAATAAATTAATCCAAATCTTTCTTCCTTCCTTTCTTTTACTTCTTTCCTCATCCATCCCCCCTTTGCTTGCCAACTCATCCCCGTTCATTTACCCAGGGGGCCCTGAATTCGTAGGCTACTCGGGCGGCTCAGCGAGCAGTGAACATGGTTGCTTCCCGTACTACAGTGAAGTATGTACTTCGCTATCAAGTAACTTTCAACGCCACCGGGCCGCCGACCGGAATCTCTCATTCTTGGGTCAGCAGAGACTGTGAACTGTACCGCGTGATTGAATTCTCATACGAGTTTGTACTTGAGCTTGATTTACCAAGAAAGTCACTTGGCGGCAGGTTCGAGTGAAAGCGGTTATGGTTCGGTTGTTAGCATTAATTCTAAATATTATATTCCGAGCAGGAAAAAAGTTAATTTGTTTTTCATTTTAGCTGCCGTCAAGATGATTTAATAAGTGGAGTCCTGTGTCTAAAGCGCCCATCTATTGTAGGTACTACTAAGTACGGAGTATGCTGGGAGCTTATCTCCCCAATCTGGTAAGTACCTCATTATCTAGCCATTATCAGTTTATCAGCGATTGTTATCAGAAGATGACACCTGATCCACTTGATATATTGTCTGAGGTGCGTAGAGGTAAGAACTTAGTGCCACGAGATACGCTGCGTGGCCCTGCAATCATACGTGAGCTTCACATGCAAGATAAGTATCTTAGAAAGTACGAGAAGCCGCAAAGCGACCCAGTACTGGTTGACTGGCTGGTACCTGAAGTACACCTGCCCAACCATACCGTAATAAATGATTGAACGGTCTGTAACTTTCCAGAATAGTGGCAAACGCCACGCTTTGTTTCGGTATATCACCATTACGGCCAGAGGAAGAAAAGCATCATCCTATGAACGGCGGGAGGAAGCGCTGAAGGGGGGTGGAGGAAAGAGGGCCGTTCGCGGCCTGCAGCTTTCGTTCCCCGCTAGACCAGAGCGTTTTGGGAATCGATCGCCCCCACTTAACTTCCACGCGGTTGGCATCTGAAACCAATCACACCCCCAACATTTGCATAGATAAGAAGAGTTGTGTTGCCCAGAGCCGTGTCAGAGATGGTGCGTTCCATGGTTTCAGAGACTCGAGCCATTACCCTGAGTGCTGTCGACGATACTATTGCCCAGTCCTATCAAGGAATAATTCCTTTTCTCCGAGCACTCGGCAGTATGCTGTATACTAAGTACGTACATACATACATATCTGTGTGTATACTAACTACTGAGCCTACCAGGTCGGAAGTCTGTACAATCGGCTTACACTGGTTGGTGCAGCTGCCAATTGATGAAAACGCAACATATGCCTGTTTCGTGTTTCTATGACATAAAATAACCTGGAAACCCTTGCAAAATCGTCAGTTGTGACGTTTGTCCTCGTCTAGCTACCGCGTCTAACTTAGTTAAAACTTAAAGCGAAAGTCCTCATATTTCTTTTTGCTCCTTTAGACTAGAACGATACGCTTCGGAGGACATCCTACTCGCTCGATTCTCCTGTGCTAAGGACGACCAATGCATGGAAGGACGGGAGAACACCAGCACAGAAGGGGTCCCGGAAAAGGGGTCCTCAAGAATGTCAGATCTTTGCTTCATCTGTGACGTGCGCCAGTTCAGACTCAGCAGTGAAACGGTCAACGTCCGACTCGGACCATTGATCAGGATCTTAGTCGAGATTGCTAACCAAGATCATATTGGCGAGTACCTGCAGGCAAAAGAACAGTGAGTCCCCAAAGCGCCTTGGCGCCACTATCGGAGTCCTCGCGTTCATGTCGGTTGCGGTCTGAGTCCCTGACAAGGCCATTCAAATGATTCAATAGGTAATCAGAATAGCCGAAGACCGTGCTTTCAACCTTGGCATATCAGGCAACCTTCATCTCAGTTTACCGCGAGATTGGATTGTGCTCCTTGCAGTAATATCACTTCCGAGCTCTTTATTCAGAAAGGGGCTCCTCATTGATCCAAGAAAGCCTCGGCCCACACGCTCTTTCGTTGGGACCTGTGCCCACTCCCAAACCGGTAACACTAAATTATCTTTTGATTTATGACCTCGGTATCATCTGGACTTAAGAAAAAAGGCCTTCCGAAAACTTTTGACATGTTCATTTTGATGAATGGGCCACTTAGTTGAGTTCCGTTGGGGCGGCACCCAAAGTAAAACAAAGTTAATAAGTAAATAAATAAAGAAAGACAGAAAGAAAGAAAGAAAGAATAAAAAAGAAGAACAAGAAAAGAAAAGAATACGTACAAAAAATAGAAAAAAAAAGAGAAAGAGAAAATATCGCCGTCAAAGTTTTCGTTGCTAAAGCGTGAGATCAACCTTAATTCTTAATTCTTTGTATGTCGGGCGGCGCGCCTGAACCACACACGAGGAATAGGCCCGTGGAACTAAGAATATGAATCGAAGCCTTGACCTACAGAGATCAACCACATCTCGAGCAGGGGATACGGTAACATCGCGTTAAACCAGCAATGTCTTGATTGGTGCATGTTTCTTGGGCGAGCCAATCAAGACTTCAACTTACACCGATCGTAATACTAGACTCAGCAGTGGCGCTGACACCACCTTCGCAGTCCAAGGCGTCAATAACGTTTTCGTGGTCGCGAAGGAGTCAATGAATCAATGACTGAGCTGCGTACATAAAACGCCCAGAGAATCCTCGTATCAGACGTGGCAACAGATACCACCCTGAGTGATGGCAGACCTCGTGGCTCTCAATGCCAGCCAATGACAGCGCCACAGCAGCTCCGACGGTGGCATGGTCTCGAGGATTTGATTTATCGGACTCCGTTGGTGTTGAGAATCCTTCTGTGGCCAAAATACGACAGAGAGAAAAACGGGAGAAAGGTAAAAAATGCGATAATTATCATAAGAATTAATAATTAACAGCAATTCATCCGCACCGCGTGAGCTGACACAGCCCTTGGCTGGTATACATTCGGTCAAAGTATCTTTTTGATGGCCTGCGTCGTGTAATCCTGACGATCGTAGAAGAACCTGTGCCGCCCCGCCACACTTTAACCTGTGTATTATGCTTTTTCCTGGCAATGTACCATACTTGCCAATAATTCTGCTCTCCTCTATGTATCACGAAAGACCCCATAGCATCATATCATAATCTTTTCCCCCCGTGTTCTTTCCTAATCATCTCTATCATAATTAGTACAGTTGGAAGAAGGTAAGTTAAAGTTGTTCCCAAACCCACACCTTCCACGGCCATAACGCGGGGAAGCAATTCGTTACATAACAGTTTCCACTCTAGATCGTCAGCAGCAGCCAGCTTCCCCATGAATCTGGGGTAGCGAAGTAACCTTTCGGTATTTGCCTCTAAACAACAATGAAAAGTTTGGCTTCGAACAAAACCTGACGTCAAATCCAAATCCCCGACTCCAACCGGGCCGGTCCTGCAGATGCCAATGCGTCGTGGTGGGTCAAAAAGTTTCATTCGTGATATTCCTACACAGTACTACCAGATTTGAGCAATATCGGTTATTAAGGGATATTCCTGGAATAATCGTCCCTCCAAGTTCCAGAAGGTCAAGGCCTTTGATCGACTTCTGCCATATCGTTTTTTTTTTATAGAGTGGAGTGAGGGGGATGACGTCAGATATCGTTACACCAAATGCTTGCGACAGCCTGTCTATCTTAAGGTAACTTGTCGCTCAAAGGGCCCCGCTATATTAAGGATATCTACAGGTGTTCCTTGCGTAATACTTTGGAAGACACAAGACCATTTGCTTGACTCCTGGTTGCCCCGAACTAAGAAGTGGAAGCTTCCTGCCTCTATTATTTCCTCTCGTTATCCATCTACCCTGACCTTTGCCGCCCAAAGAACTACGGACCTCATACAGTTCTTTCAAACCCTGTTTGATATCCCCTCATGCCTTGCGCAGTGGATGATAGTCTCTTTCATTAGGCAGAGGCGGGGAATTATCGATAGCTCTCTGAGATATGGACAACAGCTATTCCCAACTTATAAGACCGCTTCCGGCTTAAGTTACAGACCATGCGTCCAGGTGCTCGGTTGCTGTTACTTATATAGACTCCATGTGTGATGGAGTATCCTGTAGTTGAGCTTCATTTTACTGCACCGGCACAATGTCAGGAACCCGTAGGATTACCCCTTTTTATAGCGGCGGAGCTCAGCTCCTCACTCACTATATGCATGAACTTGAACCGACCGACCAGGCAGCAGTCTATATTAGATATCGCTCACAAAGCAAAACGTTAGGATATATATAGTCGCCTTTTGCCTGTGCACTTTACCAGGTCATCAATCTTAGTCAAGGTAGAGTATCGATATAGGAATTAGTAGCCGGGTGCCCTTCTTAAAGCCGTGAACTACTGCATGCTCATAACATGACGAATCCACTTCAGTGAGATGTAATTATTACAATGATAATCTTCGATTATTGCCCATTCGTTGGGGTCCATGACCTGTGGCAAGCGTATTCACCACAGCAAGACATTCTAGACTCAATGCACAAATTCGAAATTTTATAGGTTCAAATCATGCGGATCACGCTCACATCTCTGCCATAAGAAAGCTATATTTAGTACGAGGAGAGATATTTGCACATAGTGGCACAATCGAATAACTATTCCAGATAGCACAAGAAGCAAGGCCGGAGTTTTAATGTAGTTTTTTTTTTTTTTTTTTTGCAATTACAGTAGAATCTATAAGATATCGTCGATCATCATTCACAAAATCTTTTTTTCGTCAAAGCAAGTAAAAAGCATTGGACATCAGAAACTAAGAGCTACCGACCGGTCCTTCACCACCAGGGATCAACTGCAATTACGTTAGCAAGGCGACAAAAAGAGGAAGAGGTCATATTTTCCGTACCATGCAGACGTTGTTTCCATTTAGCAAGATCTTAGGAAGCTTAACCTGAGCGCCAGAGTAATCGCTGTGTTGCTGTTAGCTCCTAATATGCGGAGCGTGACCAGAGGTAGGAGAGTCAGGAAAAGCTACGTTGCTAGCTGTACTCACAATTCAGTCACGTCTTCCAAAACCATGTCTAGACTAAGTTAGTATCCGGTTCTTTAAAATGCGATAAGAGGATAGAAAGTAACTTACTGACGTAGTCATCAAAACCGAGCAAAGTACCGGCGAATTCTGTAAGAGTGTCAGCACACCATTGTGTTTCATATGCAAACCAACTAACCTTTGTCATTCTTCATGATGACCCAAATTCTAGAACCGACACACTTGTCGATCAGCTCTATGAAAATTATTAGCGAGGAGCTTCACTAATACACAAATGGTTGGGTCATTACCGAGGGGAAGGAGTTGAGAAGCCATTGTGGGTAAAGTGAGTGATGAGCGGAGCTAAACCGAGGAAGTATGAGGTGTTGATTCTATATTTGATCTACTGGAGCTCTCCTCTGCAAGAAAGGTTTCGTCTGGCTTGATATAGAAATCGCACGCTGTTGGGCGGATCCTCGATCATTCCCATTCGGACAATCTTGGCGGGAGGGAACGCACGTTTATCCGACCCGATAGACTTACACCAATCAGATCTACGAACACTTCTTCAGGGACATAAAGGTTATTCTCAACTTAATCATACAATGGTTCATGGAGAATTTATTTACAATCTACCTGCTATCTCAATAGGCTATTATTAGGAGGCGCATTCAGTATGACTGCTTTGAGATATGCGGCCTCCTCGAATTTTACTAAGAGGGGTGAAACACCCTTTATGGCAGGCGACAAAGCATCAACAAGACTTTGTTGTGTACAATGATTCGCTCCATAGACTCGAGAAAGCCGCGTTGGTTCATGATTCCTTTCATCTGATCTCTTAGCTGACAGTTTCTCAGTCGGCGTGGCGTTTCGTATAAAAGCCCGGCTCTCACATCTTCTCGAGCCTCCATTGCTAATTCAAAACTTGTCCTTAAGATTGACACAGGCTATATCACGTCTACTAGCTACTCAACGTTGACACGCAGGCCGTGCCCTTTAAAGAATCAGGAAATTTTTGATGTCAAGACTGGTGGAAGCCGTGCCTTGTCCACGACCACGGCCATGTTTCGAACAACACTTGCTCATGTTACTAGCCTGGTCAAAACCGGCTTCAAGAGCCAGGTCAGAAACCGTCGTATAATCGATGTCGCTGATGCAAATAAGGGGCAGCTACGAGATATCCCTCGCAAATCTTTTACACATAGCCTCGTGCAGTGTGAAAGTCTGAAGGGACTGGAACGACCCAAGCTCTCGACTGTAAGCTGTAATAGCCAGCGATACCCAAATCACTCTAAGCGTCCCGCATTATGTGCGAAAGCGCAGTGCCCCATATCAAGCTTCAGTACCAGTCAACGTACACGTCCCCGGGTGGAGGGTGCCTCTGGAAGGCGACAACATCCATCCATTCACTTAAACACCAAAAGGCCATGTACCTCTAGTTCTACAGCTCAGTCGACAACCGAGCATATCCAAGATTCGGAAAAAATTTCCCACATCGTCAAAGCCAAACCAGCAACCCCAGCCCTGGACTCGCGCCCTCAGCTACCCAAAGACAACCCAACTCCAAAGTTTGCTCCCGACTCAGGAGCGCACAAGTTCTGGAGTCACCGACTGTACAGATCGCCAGATGGAAAGGAGATCCTTGTACATTACTGTAAAACCCTAGAAAGCGCCGAAACAATATCGAAGATGTTCTCGGACGAATCCATTCTTGGACTCGACATAGAATGGAAAGCCAACGCCTCCGCGGCGGATGGCATACTAAAGAATGTATCGCTAATTCAGCTTGCGAGTTCGAGGCGAATCGCACTCTTCCACATCGCTATGTTTAGACCAGCGAGGGGTGCGAAAGACCTCGTACCCCCTACTCTGAAACGCATCCTGGAGTCTCCGGGTATAACAAAGGCTGGCGTATCGATCAAAGCAGACTGCACGCGATTGCGCAAGTACCTTGGGATTGATACGCGCGCCATCTTTGAACTGAGCCATTTGTACAAGTTGGTCAAGTACAGCCAGTCTAACCCAGAGCTAATTAATAAGAGGACTGTCAATTTGAGCGCCCAGGTTGAAGAACACTTTGGGATTCCTCTGGCGAAAGATGTTGAGGTTCGATGTAGTGATTGGGCGTCTGCGCTAGACTATTCGCAAGTTCACTGTAAGTTATACCTTTCCCCGAACATATAGGATTGTCTAACAAGGATTGGATTGTAGATGCTGCGGCTGATCCATTCGCATGCGTGTGTCTGTTCAATACTATGAATGAGAAACGGATGGCTCTAGATCCAGTGCCTCCTTTGCCAGCACATGCTGAGTTGAATTTACCAATTCAGATAGTCCATGAGACCCCTTTGAATACTGAGCCTGAGGAAGTTGAGGTTATCGAGCCGATAGATAATCTACTAGTGGGGACTAAGGAACGTTCCTGAATCTGGCCTCTTTGTTGAGTTCAATAGTTTGAATAACAAATAAAACCATGACCAGGGCTCGGGAAGTTCTAAATCATGTCTTGAATACAATGCATAGATAGCGTGTTCATGAGAAGCGTTGTATATTTGGCAATATTCCTTTGACTTTATTATCATCACATTCTCACCCTCTGGTCATATCATGACAGGGGCTATTATGCCAAGTCTGCAAAAGCCATGCCAAGAATTGTGGAATCAATATATCTGAAATGAACCATTGTGGGTCTTCGTATGCTCCTTATTACAGGTCACTTGAGAAAGGGGGTATATTTCTCTAAAGACCGGAAACGACAACATAAAAAAAGTAACTAGGCGTTAAGCAGGACTATATGTGGACCAGATACCAAACGCTGATTTATGCACGACCATACCCTATAGTATCTACAGAGAACACATGGCTCGAACTAACCTCTCAGAGGCAGTACTTTAGATAGCAGGACATCTTGTCGACAAAGAGGACATTCGGGCTTTTCGCGTACCCAGTCTCGCACGCATGTCCAGCAGAATACATGTCCGCATGTAGTGACACTAGGGTCTTTGAAGGGTTCTAAGCAAAGTGTGCACCTGCTTTGTTGCCCTGAGGGAATCCAAGGGATTGCGCTGGAGTCGTCTGAGAGATCATACCGGGCATCAGCGGCAGAAAGAAGCGGTAGTGTTGGCGGGTTTTCAATAGAGTGGATCAAGGTATCATCCTGGCCCGTAGAATGGGTCGCCTCTGTCTCAATGTCTTCTTGCTGCAAACTGAGCCCCACTTTCTTGACGTGCAGCACGCTCTGTACCGCGATCTGCAAGACAAGCAACACTCCTAGCACTTCATACCCAACCCGCTGCTCGTTTTCCTCAAGTTTCTTTGTGAATACATATCGCAGGCCCCAAAGGCGTTTCGACAGATGGTAGTACGCGCCGGTGAAGTAGAAGGTCGCGATGCTCACGGCGTAGATAGGGCTCAATGACGTGATGGAATCAAGGTGTTCCAGAATATACTTCTGAATTCGTAATTTCGTGAAAAAGGATGGTGCCTTTGAGGTGTCTTTCCTGCTAGGCTTCGTCCCCTCCCTGGCTTGTTGGGCCTTAAGCTGTTGCCGCGCGATGCTCCACTCAAGCTTCGCCCGTAGTCGCTGGCGGAAAGCTGGTAAGATCCTCTGAAGGATCCACGGCACAATGATACTGCTCACGATATATCCCGCCCGCCTGATAAGAGAAGGGAGCTGGAGTGTGTCATCTTCCAATTGGACAAGATCGCAGTATTCCTCCCCCAACGTGCGGTTGCCGATAAGAGTAGTCAGGGAAAAGTATAGGATCTCGGTCAGGTTCTTGATGGTTTCGGAGTAGGTATGAGCAAATCGGGCTCCTCGGAGTGAGCGGATGATGTTCTGAGCTTGCTGTACTAGATTTGAGGTAAGGAATACGTCTTTTTCATGGGACCGAATGATATCCGGGGACGTCGCGAATGGGTAGAAATGCGCCGAGGGACTGGACGCCGATGCGGAAGTTGCAGGAGACAAAGAGAAGTCTTCGTCCGCCATTGTCACTGTACGTATAGTGCGATTGAGGTAATGTGAAGTGTTAGTACAAAGTCAGGTTGACCGAAGAAAGCTCGCTCTACCGTCTTATCATTGTTAACTGACGTGGTTATCATTTCCCCGGAGAATGAGCCTCCGCAGCGGCGATACAGTATACCTCGGCAGTCCACACGTGAGGTGTCGCTTCACGTGACCCAATGCCACCTGGAAACCTAGAGCCAAATTTGGAAGTCTCGACCTGTAAGGAGTTAGACCCGAAACAGACAAGTGTGCCTCCTCCTAATCCGAACAGCCGCGCGGAACCGCCTGGACTCTCTGAAAGCGTCCCTGAGCGTCTTCATTTTCCGTCTAATAATTATGAGTGTGTAAATTTTGGTTTTCAAACTCACCCCTAGTCATTCTTTATTTGGTTCAACTTCTTTTTTTCGCCTCTGCTCTTCTCTTTATATCCCCCTATTGTGGTCTTCCTCTTTAATTTTGACCTTCTTGTCCGTTATCTCCCCTATCTTCTCCGTGCTGGCGCTGTAGTCCCGCGCCGCTTCAATGGAATATGGGTCCTGATCAACATGCTCAATTGGATCGCTTCAGTCTCTTTCTTCCTTTTCCCTATCGTGTGGCCGTGATTTTGGTTGCTGGTAAGCCGAGAGATGCAAGCGCTTTTATGTTATGTTTTCGACGATGTTGATTTCAATGTACAGGCTTCTGGGGTTGGGGGGTCAATCTCCAATATCTTCTCAAGAAGAACGTTGTAGGTTAACCCCTCTATTCAATTTGGTATCTTCCCTGAATAAGATCTGACCGTTCTCGATTAGGATGTCCCCGCGCTCATCCGATATCCTGCCCGTCAATCTTCGTCCCAGCGACCCCACCACATCTCGACATACCATCTAGCTACTCTCTTGACAACCCCGCTGCTGCTCTCACTACTTATATTCTGGGCCGCTACCCATGGCTCTACTGAGAGGGTCGAGTCTCTGGATTTTATTCCACAGTCATACCTCATTATCTTCTTCATAATCCTCCTTCTCCCTTTCAACCGTCTCGCGCGCTCTGGCAGACATCGCTTGTTCGTCACTCTGAAGCGGATTAGCATTGGTGGATTAGCAGAAGCCCAAGATGGGAAATTTGGAGACATCCTACTTGCCGATGCGTTGACTAGCTATGCTAAAGTACTAGCGGACTTGGTTGTTACTTTCTGCATGTTCTTTACCTCGGGTGTTTCCAGCACATCCAAGCCGGATCGCAAGTGCGGACACGATTGGGTGATCCCCCTGGTCGTTGCTCTTCCGAGTATTATCCGATTTCGGCAGTGTCTGATTGAATATGTGCGTGTACGTCGAGCTGGTTTTAAACTGGAAAACCAGGGCGGCCAGCACCTAGCCAACGCCCTGAAATACGCCACAGCGCTTCCCGTCATCTACCTTACTTCCAAGTTGAGGAATTATAACCCTTTGGAGAGCTACGGATACAGCGAGATGAGTCTGTCACGACTATTGTATGTTGTTTGTATCTGATATAAGTTTGAGAGGGGTAGAGGTTGGCTAATGACATTCTAGATACATGTTTACCTTTGTCAACTCCTCTTACTCTTTCTACTGGGACGTCACCAAAGACTGGGACCTGACCCTCCTAACTTCGTCGCGCCGTGACGCGCATCATCCTTACGGATTACGCCGGCACCGCCATTTTGCTGATCGGCAATACTATCTTGCAATTCTTGTAGATCTGATTATTCGGTTTTCATGGTTGTCCAGGTTTATGCCAGGGTTTGTCTGGCTTTGCGAGACGGAGGTGGGCATTTGGTTGCTCATGTCCCTTGAAGTCGCACGTCGGTGGATGTGGATTTTCTTTCGTGTGGAGACCGAATCTGGTGAGTCGCATTTCGCCTATCTGAAAGCACTAAGAATGTATGCTAATTTGGTATCTACAGTCAGGAACAGCCGTGGACCGGCCCCTGATGATATTCTTCTTGGTGAATTCAACGGCAAATTGGATGCGGACTGAACCGCGGCCGTACTTCAAAGCTGTTGAACACCGCCCTTTTTATAAATGACATGACTTGGTATATCCACGGATGTAGGACTTATTATTGTGATTATGTATGTATTCCACTTTAGTTGTTGTTATTCTCTGCTATGCCCTTCGAGCGTCTGGCCCATCATTCGGTCCGTTTCTTGGACCACCCATATCACATCCTCGACCAAGCGAAAGACTTTCAAGTGATCATCTGTATGAAATTCGGCAAGCATTGCGAGATATGGTTGTGCACAGTACATAGTGGCAAGTCTTTTTTTTTTTTTTTTTTTTCGTTTTTACTTTCTGCATGCAACTGCGCTACGGACATGTGGGTAATAAACATTTGCAATATCGATAGGCAGACCCAAATGATGAAGTGCAACTCAGAAACAAAGTAAAAATTCAACAAATTCCACAACCAAAGTTTCATGGATAATGGTCTAGTTGACCTCCAGTGAACTCCATCGCCTAGATTCACCGCTGCAAAAGCCAAAATATAAAAGGAAAACTATCCAGAAAGGTGCGTAGTCCTGAACGCTGAAGACGGTTGCTCATGACATGAGAGATGTACATACACTATATAACAAGATTATGTAAATGATATTTGCCATCGAATGTAAAAAAGGGAAAAGTACGAATAGAACAGGGACAGTGAAAGTGAAATTCAGCTACAGCATCCGGTTTTTGAATGGGACGTCACCAAACCTATTGTCTATTATTGGGAGGGTGGTTCTCGAAGAGATCTTCCAGGTAAGCACTTGGGGTCCTTCCTTGCGTAGGAGATGCAAGATTAACAGAGCTATTGGACGCCACGTGTGAATACCTTGAAGTGTTAAACTGAGGTTCATAGACACCACTGGGAGCATGGGTAGGTGTGCCAGGTGGGCTGGGTCCCGATTTTGTCCTCGTGTACCCCTGTGCCTGCGGGCCCATGGCCGGAAGATCAGGCGCGGAGAACTGCATACTCTGGTGGCTCCCGCTACCAGTCGCAGCACTCCCAGCAGCATAATACCCCGCCGGGAGATAGCTTGAACCTCTGTTTCCGCCACTGTGCATTCCAGCCGTGGGAGAGAAGAACAACCCGCTGTTAGATCTTGGGCCTTTCGAGGAGCGGTGGTTAGTGCGGTGCCCGCCACCCATTTTTTCCAAGGAGACGGCTGGTGCTGGGCCGCCGTGCGAGCGATGCGCTGATCTCTTTCTCCTGTGGCGAAGGAGTCCTTTTGCCTCAGAGGATTGCATTATGGCTGCTTTGCGGACGGATCGGTTTACAGACCATGCGACCATGCCGCGCCAGGCGAGGAGTGCGACGCCCAAGAAGCCTAGGACTGCGCCGACGGCGATGAAGACGGTCCCTTCCGGAGTATCTGATGTTTGCATGTATGGTGCATCGGCGAGTGGGGGGACCGTTACCACAGGGTAATCGTTCGTTGAGGTAGAGGTTGTACTGGAGTCTGTAGATTTTGAGGACTCGGTTGTTGTTGTGGTTGCTGATTTGTCTGTTGTGGATCTTTCCGTGGTCCTTGATGTCGTGGTAGTGTCGTCTTTTGTCGTAGCTGTAGTAGTCTCCTTCGTTGTTAAGTCGGTTGTCGGCGCAGGGTCACCCCCAGTAGTCTCCTGTGCCAAGGATATTTGCGCCATCATCAGAACGGCGATGATGAGTAAAAGCCATGTAAAAGAGGGTTGGCGGCGGGCCTTGCGAAGGCCCGCGGGTCGAAGATTCATTGCGAAGACAGTCTAGCGAGTGAACGAGCGATATCGATGTCAATTGTCTCAGTCGGGAATGAGTTGTGGGCCAGAACGATTGCGCCCGGTATGTCGCGCTGACGATCTGAGCAGATATATAGATTCTGAGACGATGAAGAGCTACCAGGCTCTGTGGTCAGAGATATGTTTGGATGCAATGGCGGCTGTGTGTCGCAAGTTGTGGGACGTGGATCTCTATCGGATAGTCTCCACCAAAACACAGGATCGACAGCAACCAGATCTACTCCGGGGGTACAACGATTGTATAAAATAGCCAGAATGGCCAAGTGAAAGACAAACACTGTTGGCCAGTGCAGCAAGGTTTATAGCAAATTACGAAGCGAGAGGTGAGGGCAAATTATCAGTGGGTTTACCCCCCCCGGGGAGATCAGCGACAGGAGACCCGAGACCACGACCGTTGCCCCGTCACGGGCCTTGTACGTTCTGCCTTAGGCTCTGGTCTTGCGGAGAAGTCAAATTCACGTGATGCCCTATATATAGGTCTCCTGTCTCAACAAAAGCCTCGCGCTAGTCTCACACATATATGGCATAGTTAATGATCTAAGTGACGAGAGAAGTAAAGCAGGTCTTATTGGGGCCTGCATGAGCGCACGTCAGACATTTTTTGAAAATCCGTAACTAACATTCAGACCCATAAACACGTATGGAATATACAACATAGCATACACGATAAAACCTTGATGGTCTAAAGCAGTTGATGACCGACTTTCAACCGATTTGTCATGTCGAACTAAAGAATAAAAACTGATTCCAGGACCTCTATCCGCGACACCAACCACTAATCACTGCTGCTTCTTCTGCACGCTGGCGGACGTGTCTTTTTCAAAAGCAGCGTAAGGAACTTCCAGGCTGGCAAGGGCGCTAAAACCGACATACAAAATCATAATGAAGACAAAAGTTGCCATAAGTCCCATGAAGAGGCCTGTTAACGTTAGTTCCCGTCACTCAAGATGTTTAAGAGGGGCAGTGTATGTCAAGGTCGTACCAGGTGTGAAGTATTGATACTCTTGGAAGAGTGACTTGTTAGATGCAGGCTCCGAACGACGACTATGCGCCGCAAAGTCCCGCTTCAAGTCCATGTGGACGGGATCTTGGTAGGGATCAGTTTCGGATTGATAGATACCCGAGTCGGACTCTCCAAATTCCCTCGGTGAAGTTACATAGAGAATGGTGTACTTCTTCGACGAAGGGATCCGTTCGATAATATCAGAAAGTAGGCCGTCTGCAGCACAATTAGAAGGTTCGCTCGTTGCATTCTTCGATTGTTCACACACCATTGTCAGAAAGCTGCTGGGCCCTCTCCTTCCCCAGAGGGAGCACAGGGAAATCAATAAAAAGGACTCGGGGGTCGGTGCCAAAGTCAGATGGATAAGAGCCAGCTAAATTACCTAGTTAGCCAGATTTCAACGTATCCGCGACTTTGTCTTCACAGAACTTACAGGCACCATCGATAACAGTAGTTTGCGCCCCACATTCTTTCTCGATAATGCTTTGAATCTGCTTCGCTTCGAGCACACCAACAACTTCGTTGACTGTCGCAGTCGACCGGATAGTCTTATCCTTTCCCGTCATCTTCGCGCCCAGGCGGGGTGCAGACTTGCGAGTCGAGAAGTCGGTGCTATGAACACCGGGCTGGGAAGCAATGACATAGTAGTCGGAGGGACACGAGCTAAGCTTCGAGGAGAGGTCATCTAACAAGGAAGGGGCGGTTTTGAGTTGGGATGAAGTAGAGAGAATCCTAAAGGTGCTTGTTAGCTAGTTCTTTGAGGAGCTACCCGCGATAACTCGAATGACTGCCGCCATAACATACTCAGACGTCGATGCGAGGAAGAAGGGCGAGGTGTCACGAAAGGCATTAGCCGTTGCTGCTCCCAGAGCAAGCAGCGAGAAGCTGCTCAAATGCATAGTGGTGGATAGGATTTAGCTTCAGACAAGCACAGGCTGTCCGAACGGTGAAAGGGTCCCCGGAGGTATGATGGTTGGAGACAGGCTGGAGGATTGGCCGAACGGGGCTCGGAGGCGGTCGACCCAAATCACCGGCAAGGCTTAGCTTCACTTTGATCATCGTGCATGCACGCTTTTTTTCTTTTCTTTTTTTTTTTTTTTAAAAGCCCTTTTATATCGAAACCAAATCACTGAATAAATGCATTATTAACGCAATTATTTCTTTTCATACTCTCCACAGTATAACAATACTTCATTTTTCTACATATAATCATGGGACCACAAGCAAAACGGCGAAAGACGAGCAAAGTCGAAGAAATCACCTTCGATCATTCTGCCCGCCATGAATTCCTCACAGGCTTTCGCAAGCGAAAGCAACAACGAATTAAGCATGCGCAGGAGGTTGCAGAGCAGAAGGCTCGAGAGATGAAGAGAGAAGAACGGAAACGAGTTCGTCATTCCTTGATAGTTTATCTCAGTAGAAATTCGTTTATTAACCGCGAACATAGATTCGGGAGGAACGAGAAGCAGAGTTCCAAAACGCTCTCGAGGAGCATCAGAAACAACTAAAGAGACTGAGGCAAGAAGAAAATGGGGCAAGTTCAGGCTCAGATTCAGAAAGCGACGGCGAAGATAATGAGTGGGAAGGGTTTGAAGAGCCACCTGCAGTGGACTACGAAGCGGAATACATTGATGAAGACAAGTATACCACGGTAACAGTAGAAGAGATGGATGCTTCTAGGGAGGGCTTGCTACGATCACAGGAGCATAGTTCGGACGAAGAGCAAGAAGGTGAAGAGAAACTGACATCCGAAGCGAATTCCAAGCCGAAGCCGGTAGAAAAGACCAAGAAGGCATCAGACAAACCGAAAAAGAAGAAAAAGAAGTTCCGGTACGAAAGCAAGGCGGAACGCCAGCTCACTCGCAAGAAAGAACGCCTTTCAAACAGCAGGAAAGCGCAGGCAAGAAGAGAACGGTAGTTGGAGGTTAATCTCCACACAAATTCATGCATCTTCGAGTCAGTCGACGTTTCAATACCCCTGAGGAGACTTTCATTCTTTATGGTCTATGTTACTGTGGGCAAGTGGGTATAGGCAGAGGGCAAGTGGATGACAAAATGATGAGACAGAGATGCTACTGGATTCGGCTCCTGATGGCAAATGCTAAATAAAGTAATCTGCAACACGCAGGGAACAAAAAAGTTATTATGTTAGAAGAAAGGTTGAGCCGAGGTTTTCCCAGAATATTGCATCTGCAGGCAACCCTAGCCTTAGACATTGCTTATAGAAACCTCCAACTCGTGGAGATCCTTCTGCAACTCGGCGTACTTCTTCGCCATTTCCTCATACTTGCTTTCCCACTCATCACGAGACGACTCGAGGGCCTGCACTTTGCGCTCGTAGTGGCCGGCTTTAACATCGGTTTGGCGGAGCCTATTGAACACCAGCGAAATTAGTAATTGTTCGCCGACGATAAAAAGGGGTTCCAAGGAAAATCATACTTCTCAACTGTCTCCCGGGTATTCTTGTCAGCATTCTCGAGCTCCTCTTCCAAGAGCTGCAAGCGTCTCTGAAGGGTTTCGTTCTGAGTGTCGTGCTGAGCGCTCTGGTTGGCAGCATCCTTAGCCTCCTTGAGAGCGGTTTCCAACTTCTCCACCTCACCCTCAAGAAGCTGGTTGCGGTGGTTGAGGGATGTGATCTCCTGTTCCTTCGCCAGGTTCTCCTGTTCCAGCGTCTTGACCTTGCTCTTCAACTCCTCGGTCTTCTCCTGAGCCTCCTCAGCCTCCAGGCGGAGGGCGTTCATTCTCTAGACGCTGCCCGTCAGCCCCTTTTCCCATCTTCGCTTTTAATTATTTCGGTGAATGCGAGTCAAGATGGCATCCCTTTAATCGCCGCCACACAGTATACCGTGATGCATGATGAGGGAAGGTCACGTAAGGAGATAGGGTGATGCATGTGCATTTTCGGGAGCTTAAAAAGCTACCCCGCCAACAGGGAGGGAAAGGAAACTCACCTCCTTGATCTTGTCCATATTGACGATGAAAGAAGGTTAAAATTGTTTGTACGGGGGAAAAGTCAAATATGTATTCGAGAAGAAGAATTTATACGAGTAGCAAGTTATAGAGGCTTTCGCTCAGCGAGAAACCCGATAGAATCAATAACGTGTTTAAATGTTGGGAGTTGGTTTTGGGAGAAGAAGGAGGTGGAGTGACTGCCTCCTGGCGGTCAGCCCTGGTCAGTTTGATTCTAACCCCTTTTAGCCAGTAGTAAGGGCGGTGTCTGGCTGTGGCGGCCAACCCACGGATTGGCTGCCGACCGGTCCCAAGGATCGACCGCCTGTCTCCACGGGCAACCACCACAAAACACTCTGCTAGGTAAGGTGCGTCGGGCGTCTAGATTCGGACAGACAACTCATATCTTCACGACCTCGCCAATTCTTGCGATTTCAGACGACCCTCGGATTCGATCCCGACAACGCATACCTATATTCTCAGGTGTGCATGATCAGTGATATCTCATATCCGCCACTATGCTGGCCCTCCGCGACCAAGAGAACCTGGTGCACGCTCATCAGACTGTTGCCGCGTCCAAACCTCTGAACCAAGGTGTCAAACAACTACAGCCCAAAACCCCGGGAGCCCGCGCACCGAAGACACCATTTAAAGTCCCATTGAACGATGAAAATGATCCGCTGGCGTTTGGAAAGAAAACGGTGAAGGGAGCTGGTAAACAGAATGGAGCTGCGAAACCATCTGTTAAAGATGCTTTTGTTACACCAATGGGTATGCTTGGAGGGGTAGCATGGCGTGTCTTGCGCAGAGACTGACAGTTGCGATAGCAGAGACCCGTCAACGCGCGCCGTTGGGCATGAAAACAACCAATGCAAAAGCTCGTGGGTTACAGACCCCTGGGCCTCCCGCTGGGACTTTGAAGCCAGAGAAGACAGGCAAAAGAGCCTCCACGCAGCGGGTGAAAAAGTTTGCTCCTCTGGTGGAGCAAAGCAAGGCCGAGGTACAGGATAAGCCAACTGAAGACGATGTTCCCGATATTGAATACATGCCCCCGAAGCCGAAAGGTATGTTTCCAATGAGTCGTGGGCATACTAGAAGGCCATGGTATTTAACAATGCGTAGAGCTGCCGGATATTCCTGATGAAATTACATACGATACTACATTCCCTCAGTTTCAACCGAAGAACTTGGCGTTGGGGTTAGAAACAGTTTATGGACATTCTGAAATCGGTCCCGATGGTCTGACCAAGAGGGAGCGCAAGCTTCAAGAGGATTCTATCGCATACGACAAAATGATGGATGACATGATCTTACAACAAGTTGAGAGCATCGGTTTCGAAGAGCCCAGTGACAGCGAGCAGAATGAGGCTTGTGTGGAGGAAGCAGCGCCGCGTCGCTATGAAACGCGTCGTACCCGCGCCATGAGCTCCCGGGAGAAGCATACCAGCAACATCCCAACCGTTCGCGCTCGTGACGCAGCCACTGCCCTTTCTGGTACCGAACGCACTCTCCGACCTAGGCCTGTTTCAATCCCAAAGCCAAAGCCGAGAGTTGCGTCATCCTTATTTTCGTCAAGAAAGCCCAGGACGCCGACTAACCCCTCATGCATACACCATACCGCGGCCATGGCCAACTCTAAAACAACAGTAGGGTACACCAAGGGCCGGGACGTGTCGTCTAAGCTACATGGCAAAACGCCCAGCACTACGAAAGGGCAAACAATTCCTCAGGGGATTTTCTCTGCCGACACTTACGTGCGACCTTCCGGGACCCCTCCTCTCGAAACTGATATGGTGCCTCTTGCACATGACGCGGATCACCTGACGGCCAATCTTGAGGAAGTGCTCCCGGTGTATGAAGAAGATGAGGAGAGCTTGAATTTCCAGCTGACGCTGTGAACGGAGGTTAATGAGCACGGTTCCATATCCCGGAGTCAAGGGTTAGCTTTCTATGGTGTTTGTTTCTTTAATGGGAGTATGATATAACTCTGTTTTTCTTAGCTTTGACGGTTGGAGTGGCGGAACGGTACAATATTGCATGAGACAAGGACTTCCAGGGAGGGGGCGTTTTATTTGAAGTATCACGGGTTTATCGTCAGCCGGATTAGAACTGATGTATGAATTTTCAAAGTGCGAGTGCTAGTCAATAGTCGAAAGTATTTTTCTATTTTTTTTTTTTTTTTCCCATACAATTAAATTGGGTGGTTACCTATCTTTTTTATTGATACTCTGGCCAGAGTACAAAGTGCTTTGTCAAGGTAAATTTAGGTCATGTTTCAGGGACCCTCCCGCAAGTCTGGGTCCAGCTTTAGTTCCAAAGTTGCACTGTCCATCGGGACCCGAAAGGGCCTCGGGAATGGTTGATTCGGACGATTGTGATTGGGGATACCCTCTGAAGCTCTGCGGCCAGACCTCAACTATTGGACCAGTAATATCCACCAGGTACGGGACCAGTACGTATGCATGGTGTACATCTTCCCTCAATTTCATAATCGAAACGGCTCTCTCAGAGCCACAAATCTCTATCCCCATTAATCAATGATCCTGCGTCTTTCTCGCAGGTAAACATCTCACTAAGTAAACAGGATTCCTTACTATATTCGATGGCTTCACCGCTCCTGCAGTGAGGGTCGTTCCACTAAACTCAATCGGGTCCCTGGGACAATTTAAGCTGTCTCTGTTATCCCAGGGAGTATCACGGAGGACACATAAACAAACCTGTGCAATTTCCACTCACTCACTCATACCCATGAGTCTGATGTAAATGTAAAAATGTAGAAGTCGAATATATTGAGGTCACAACAATCAAGAAACTGAGAAATATTAGAACCCAATCCAAGGACAAATTCTGGGTCCCTTGGTGGTGGATTCAATCAATTGATCGTCCACTTTCCTTTCCTCGGCGCCCACCGCAAATACAAGCAAGGCAAACTAACCAAACGGAAACTAAAGCACCCTCCGGCCGCCTCAACTCAGCATCTTCTGACACCCTCCCTCATCTTTTCTCTTTCCTTCCTCATCCTCCCTCCCTCGCCCCCCCCATTTCTCCCCTCTCCTCCGCTTCAGTCAATTCGTCATGGCTGAGACGAAGATCCATCCTCAGTCCCCTGAGGAGTTCGAGTTCATTGAAACTCCCCCTGCCTCCTGCACTACTCCCGCTGAGCCCTGTGGTGTGAGGACAACGTCGGTAAGTTCGGACCCTGGATAGAAAACCCATGGCTTGTTATGCTTCAATTGCGAGCGCCAATTGTGTACAGCTCGCGCTAATAGTTTATCTACACAGTATCCGGCCATCAAAAATGCCCCCGTCCCAGCGGATTCTCCGGGCAGTGATAGCTTCTCCAACATCCTCCTGTTCTCTTTGCTTCTGCTCATCCCATGGTATCTGGCCCGTCAGGTCGGTGGTGGTTTCTACACCACCATCTTCTTCGCAATCTTCACCACTATCCCTATTTTGATGGCTTTCTGGTCCATCGCTTCGTCCATCTCCCCCCGCAAGACCGAAAAGGCCAAGTATGCTGGCCGCCCCGTCGAACACTACCTGCACTTCCACAGCGAGCATGACCGTGCTGCCTACCGCGGAAAGAGCAAGATCCCCATGGAGGTCTTCTACGAGAAGTACTTCAATGGTGAGGTGGACTTCAAGGGTGACGCCCTTGAGTGCCTCGAGTTCCGCCACGATTGGGCCAACTTCCGCTTCACCATGGGTCTTTTCAAGCACTTCCTCTTCGGTTTCATCCCCGAGTTGCTGATGCACACCCGTTCCCAAGGTATGTTGTTGTCATCACAAACTCAGAAAAATCACGCGCGCGCAATTGCCTTTCTAACCTGTGAAATTTTACAGATGAGGAGCAGGTTCGTGATCACTATGACCGTGGTGATGATTTCTATGCTTGGTTCTTGGGCCCACGCATGATCTACACCTCTGGAGTTATCAGCGATCCTGATCGGGAGGAGACCTTGGAGGAACTGCAGGACAACAAGCTGGCTGTGGTTTGTGAGAAGATTGGCCTGAAATCCGGAGACACCGTCCTTGATCTTGGTTGTGGCTGGGGTACTCTGGCCAAGTATGCTTCCGTTCATTATGGCGCCCAAGTTACTGGTATCACTCTTGGCCGTAACCAGACTGCCTGGGGTAACAATGGTCTCCGTAAGGCCGGCATTGAGGACTCCCAGAGCCGTATTATGTGCTTGGACTACCGTGACGCTCCTCGCGTTGAAGGCGGCTACAAGAAGATCACTTGCCTGGAGATGGCTGAGCACGTCGGTGTGCGCCACTTCACTACTTTCTTGTCTCAGGTTTATGACATGCTGGACGACGACGGTGTTTTCTTCCTCCAGATTGCTGGTCTCCGTAAGTCCTGGCAGTACGAGGATCTTATCTGGGGTCTCTTCATGAACAAGTATATCTTCCCCGGTGCCGACGCTAGCACCCCTCTTGGATTTGTTGTCGACCGTCTGGAGGCCGCTGGCTTTGAGATCAAGGCTGTTGACACTATTGGTGTTCACTATTCTGCTACTCTCTGGCGCTGGTACCGTAACTGGATGGGCAACCGTGAGAAGGTTGAGGCCAAGTATGGCAAGAGATGGTTCAGAGTAAGTTCCCCCCACCTTCGTGCTAATGCACTACTACGGCGAAGTAGAGACAACTAACATCCGTCTGTTAGATCTGGGAATACTTCCTTGCTTCTTCGACCATTACCTCTCGTCAGGGTGGTGCCACCTGCTGGCAGCTCACCCTTGTCAAGAACATCAACTCCACCCACCGTATCGAGGGTATCAACACTCAGTACGGCCTTAAGGGTGCCCGTCAGGCTGCTATCGACTCTGTCGGTCACGGCGCCGTGCCCAGCGCCCACGTCACTCCCAAGGCATAAGTTTGACGCTGGCATGTGAATACTGGTCAACGGTTGTGGTTTACACTTACTTCCCTGCCCGGTGTATGCATGGACGAACTATGTCTTTCGAGCCTATTGGATCCAATGACATGATTCATGGAGCAACGGAGGAAATACCTTTGA